CAAAAAACCACAACCCGCGGAAACGCCACAACCATCCCGATTTGTCCGGTGAGCGGCCTTCGGAAGGTTGCGCGGCTGGTCTGCGAATCTTCCCGGCCGCCCCTTGGGTTTCCTTCACATCTTGGCGAACCCGGGAAGCAGGCGACGCAAAAAACCACAACCCGCGGAAACGCCACAGCCATCCTGAATTGTCCTGTGGGCGGCCTTTGGAAGGTTGCGCGGCTGGTCTGCGCATCTTCCCGGCCAACCCTTGGGCTTCCTTCACATCTTGGCGAACCCGCCAAGGAGACGACACAAAAAACCACAACCCACGGAAACGCCACTGCCATCCTGATTTGTCCGGTGGGCGGCCTTTGGAAGGTTGCGCGGCCAGTCTGCGAATCTTCCCGGCCGCCCCTTGGGTTTCCCTATCCTGTTTACAGCATTACAAATTCCAAAACGCGACAGGAAATGCCCATCATAGGGATGCGCGTCACAAATGTTCTTGTCATTGCAAATCTGCATGACAACTCTGGGGTGGGGATGTTTTTACATAGGATAGAGGGAGATCAGGTCTCTCGCCAAGTGGGGCCGCTCGGTCTTGTCGGCGCGAACGAACTTGATTTGCATCTCCAAGACGGAGAAAAACGTGTTGTAACTGCCAGAGATAGAGTATGGAGCTGTCAGGATTGAAATCAACAAAGTTGAAATAATTTGTGATGCATAAAATCTATTCCAGCTGGACCCACAGTTTCCAATCGGCGCATGACAAATTTTCCTGGCCGCTGAAGCAAGTCTGTCATGCTGTTTAGGGAAAGGTGGCTGCTCCCTGTCATGCTAGTCAGCAGCCCAATTCTTGACCCTTACCAGCACTAGAATCTGCCTCCCTTGCGCCTTTAGCAATGGAGTCAGTCTACTTTGTGTCGCATTTTATGCACGACAAATCCTTTCAACTTTGTCGATTTCAACTCTGACACATCCATATCGAGGAGGTCGAGAGGCTGTCGATTTTGTATTCGTTCAGAATTTTCGACCACATCGTCAAAAGCTTGCAATTATCCACGAGCAAAATCTCCAGCAGTTTTATCAAAGTGAAAACTATCCCCCCGCGGCCCCATAGCAAAGTGGAAATCTCTGATGCGGGATTTGTGTACACGACAAATCAGCTCTGTCTTGCAGTGAGGCACTGCAGGCAAAGCCTAAGCCTGCTGCGTAGGGGTGTTGTTATTTGGTGTAGGTGCTTAGCACAGCAGAGGCCTGCCATGTAAACGCAACAGCATTACAAATCGCCAGCGTAAGGTGGCGGATTCTTTGGCTTTGCCCTCTTGCACGAGAGACAGGATTTGTGGTCACAAATCAGCATGACAAATTTTTAGCAGCACAGAAGTATGGGGAGGCGGGGGGATTTTTCCTCGCAATAAGTTCCACGGCGACCGGGTAGTCGAGAAAAATTTTGTACTATCGCAAGAAAAAAGTGTTACAGTTACACACATAGTCTATGTAAGCCCAGCATGACAGACAACCTCGGTCATGCCGGATAAGCATAGGAGCCTTCCTTCATACGTGTTTTTATCCCGTAGGATTTCTGCAGTGCAAGTTTTCTCTCTCATGCAGAGAAATCTGTGTTGCTGCATTGACAACAGATGTGTAACTCTGACACTTTTTTCGTGGGATATGTAAGTCGGGTTTCGGAAGTACAGGAGATACCGCAGAAACCAGCGGAAATCCGGATCGTCGACGTGTCTTTTTACCACGTGCTGCAGATACCGGGTATGCATTGCAAATACGTTTGGGTCCTCTGGAAGGATGCGAGGCTTGTCATGCACATTTTGCATGACCCATAATGTCTGTGATGCATGCCCCAGCATCACAGATTTTTTTACGGGCGTCTTCATGCCTATTCCGCATGAGAAAGAACGCCATTTCCACGTAGCAAAAACTGGGCTCCTCTTCTTGCAGCTCATGCAATACAGATTTCTTTTGGAATCCAAAGGTAGCATTACAAGTTGCACTCTTCCAGACCCAGACCACATATTTGCATTTGATACCGGGGGTTCAGCAGCGATTGCAGGAACTGGCTCTCCCACGTGAACCGCTGCACATTGCTTATCGTGAGAAAAAACTGTTTCACTGTGAACTTGTGATGCAGAAAATGGAACACAGAACTCTTTGTCTTGCTACACCTGGATCAAGGCATTGGATTTAGAAGCGTGTTTTCCCTTGGGAAGCGCGCATGACAAACAAGGTCCACGCGTGGGGACAGGGTCCCCACGCTGGGGCCTTGTGCGCACCCCTAGTGGCGCGAGTTGGAGAACATTGCTCGGCATCGCGGCGGACAGAGTCCGTCCCTCGCCTCACATCAGGCGCGCGCGCAGTGGCTTAGTTCGCAAAGCGGTAGTGGGGGAAGGGTGTTCGGCATCAGTGCGGACAGTGTCCGCCCCTCGGCCTCGCCTCACATCAGGCGCGCGCATAGTGGCTTAGTGCGCGAAGCGCTACAGCCGGGCGCAGGGTGTTTCTTCGGCAGCGGGGCGGACAATTCGAAACCGCCCCTGGAAAAGAAGTCCGGTCTCAAAGTTAAAGTTGCCTTTGTGCATCACAGGTCGGAGACTTCCCTCTCGTTGCGGTATGGAATTTCTACGCCGCCTCCTGCAGGAGCCAAGGCGATGGCGTAGAAATTCGAAGCCGCCGCTGAAAAAGAAACTCGACTGCAGCATTGCTTTTGTGCAATACAGATCGGAGCGAGACTTCGTCCTCAGGACGGTAGGGAATTTCTACGCCGCCTCATGCAGGAGCCAAGGTGATGGCGTAGAAATTCCATACCGCCCGGAGAAAGAAATGCCCGCTCTGTATTCCACAATCGCAGCCTTGCGAGGGAATATCTTTTCCAAGGGCGGCGCGGAATTTCTACACCCTCGCCTGGGCTCCCGCAGGACGCGGCGTAGAAAGTCTATACCGCCCGGGGAAAGAAATCTCTGCCCTGTGTTGCGCAAGAGCAGCTTTGGGATCGGATTCCTTTTCCAGGGCGGTATGGAATTTCTACGCCCCTGCCTTGGCTCCCGCAGGGCGCGGCGTAGAAAGTCCATACCGCCCGGGGAAAGAAATCCTCGATCTGTGTTGCGCGAAAGCAACTGTGGGGCCGGGTTCCTTTTTCAGGACGGTGTGGAATTTCTGCGCCTCTGCCTTGGCTGGCTCCCGCAGCCAGGCCAGGGCGCGGCGTAGAAAGTCCATACCGCCCGGGGAAAGAAATCTCCGATCTGTGCTGCGCAAAAGCAACTGTAGGGCCGGACTCCTTTTCCAGGACGGTATGGAATTTCTATGCCCCTGCCTTGGCATTGCATGCTCCCGCAGGACGCGGCGTGGAAAGTCCATACCCCCCGGGGAAAGAAATCTCCGATCTGTGTTGCGCAAAAGCAACTTTGGGGCCGGATTTCTTGTCCAGGGCGGTATGGAATTTCTACGCCCCCTCCCTGGCTCCCGCAGGACGCGGCGCGGAAAGTCCATACCGCCCGGGAAGAGAAATCTCCGATCTGTGTTGCGCGAAAGCAACTTCGGGGCCGGATTCCTTTCCCAGGACGGTATGGAATTTCTACGCTCCTGCCCCGGCTCCCGCAGGACGCGGCGCAGAAAGTCCATACCGCCCGGGGAAAGAAATCTCCGACCTGTGTTGCGCAAAAGCAACTTTGGGACGGGGTTTCTTTTCCAGGGCGGTATGGAATTTCTACGCCCCTTCCTTGGCTCCCGCAGGACGCGGCGTAGAAAGTCCATACCGCCCGGGAAAAGAAATCTCCGATCTGTGTTGCGCGAAAGCAACTTCGGGGCCGGATTCCTTTCCCAGGACGGTATGGAATTTCTACGCTCCTGCCCCGGCTCCCGCAGGACGCGGCGTAGAAAGTCCATACCGCCCGGGGAAAGAAATCTCCGATCTGTGTTGCGCAAAAGCAACTTTGGGACGGGATTTCTTTTCCAGGGCGGTATGGAATTTCTACGCCCCTTCCCTGGCTCCCGCAGGACGCGGCGTAGAAAGTCCATACCGCCCGGGAAAAGAAATCTCCGATCTGTGTTGCGCGAAAGCAACTTCGGGGCCGGATTCCTTTCCCAGGACGGTATGGAATTTCTACGCTCCTGCCCCGGCTCCCGCAGGACGCGGCGTAGAAAGTCCATACCGCCCGGGGAAAGAAATCTCCGATCTGTGTTGCGCAAAAGCAACTTTGGGACGGGATTTCTTTTCCAGGGCGGTATGGAATTTCTACGCCCCTTCCCTGGCTCCCGCAGGACGCGGCGTAGAAAGTCCATACCGCCCGGGAAAAGAAATCTCCGATCTGTGTTGCGCGAAAGCAACTTCGGGGCCGGATTCCTTTCCCAGGACGGTATGGAATTTCTACGCTCCTGCCCCGGCTCCCGCAGGACGCGGCGTAGAAAGTCCATACCGCCCGGGGAAAGAAATCTCCGATCTGTGTTGCGCAAAAGCAACTTTGGGACGGGATTTCTTTTCCAGGGCGGTATGGAATTTCTACGCCCCTTCCCTGGCTCCCGCAGGACGCGGCGTAGAAAGTCCATACCGCCCGGGAAAAGAAATCTCCGATCTGTGTTGCGCGAAAGCAACTTCGGGGCCGGATTCCTTTCCCAGGACGGTATGGAATTTCTACGCTCCTGCCCCGGCTCCCGCAGGACGCGGCGTAGAAAGTCCATACCGCCCGGGGAAAGAAATCTCCGATCTGTGTTGCGCAAAAGCAACTTTGGGACGGGATTTCTTTTCCAGGGCGGTATGGAATTTCTACGCCCCTTCCCTGGCTCCCGCAGGACGCGGCGTAGAAAGTCCATACCGCCCGGGAAAAGAAATCTCCGATCTGTGTTGCGCGAAAGCAACTTCGGGGCCGGATTCCTTTCCCAGGACGGTATGGAATTTCTACGCTCCTGCCCCGGCTCCCGCAGGACGCGGCGTAGAAAGTCCATACCGCCCGGGGAAAGAAATCTCCGATCTGTGTTGCGCAAAAGCAACTTTGGGACGGGATTTCTTTTCCAGGGCGGTATGGAATTTCTACGCCCCTTCCCTGGCTCCCGCAGGACGCGGCGTAGAAAGTCCATACCGCCCGGGAAAAGAAATCTCCGATCTGTGTTGCGCGAAAGCAACTTCGGGGCCGGATTCCTTTCCCAGGACGGTATGGAATTTCTACGCTCCTGCCCCGGCTCCCGCAGGACGCGGCGTAGAAAGTCCATACCGCCCGGGGAAAGAAATCTCCGATCTGTGTTGCGCAAAAGCAACTTTGGGACGGGATTTCTTTTCCAGGGCGGTATGGAATTTCTACGCCCCTTCCCTGGCTCCCGCAGGACGCGGCGTAGAAAGTCCATACCGCCCGGGAAAAGAAATCTCCGATCTGTGTTGCGCGAAAGCAACTTCGGGGCCGGATTCCTTTCCCAGGACGGTATGGAATTTCTACGCTCCTGCCCCGGCTCCCGCAGGACGCGGCGTAGAAAGTCCATACCGCCCGGGGAAAGAAATCTCCGACCTGTGTTGCGCAAAAGCAACTTTGGGACGGGGTTTCTTTTCCAGGGCGGTATGGAATTTCTACGCCCCTTCCTTGGCTCCCGCAGGACGCGGCGTAGAAAGTCCATACCGCCCGGGAAAAGAAATCGCCGACCTGTGTTTCGCAAAAGAAACTTTGGGACGGGGTTTCTTTTCCAGGGCGGTATGGGATTTCTACGCCCCTTTCCTGGCTCCCGCAGGACGCGGCATAGAAAGTCCATACCGCCCGGGAAAAGAAATCTCCGCTCTGTGTTGCGCGGAAGCAACTTCGGGGCCGGATTCCTTTCCCAGGACGTTATGGAATTTCTACGCCCCTGCCCCGGCTCCCGCAGGACGCGGCGTAGAAAGTCCATCACGCCCGGGGAAAGGAATCTCCGATCCATCTGTGTTGCGCAAAAGCAACTTTGGGACGGGATTTCTTTTCCAGGGCGGTATGGATTTTCTACGCCCCTTCCCTGGCTCCCGCAGGACGCGGCGCAGAAAGTCCATACCGCCCAGGAAAAGAAATCTCCGATCTGTGTTGCGCGAAAGCAACTTCGGGGGGGGCCGGATTCCTTTTCCAGGGCGGTATGGAATTTCTACGCTCCTGCCCCGGCTCCCGCAGGACGCGGCGTAGAAAGTCCATACCGCCCGGGGAAAGAAGTCTCCGACTTGTGTTGCGCAAAAGCAGCTTTGGGACGGGATTTCTTTTCCGCGGCGGTATGCAATTTCTACGCCCCTTCCCTGGCTCCCGCAGGACGCGGCGTAGAAAGTCCATACCGCCCGGGAAAAGAAATCTCCGGTCGGAGTTGCGCGAAAGCTATTTCGGGGCCGGATTCCTTTCCCAGACCGGTATGGAATTTCTACGCCCCCGCCCCGGCTCCCGCAGGACGCGGCGTAGAAAGTCCATACCGCCCGGGCAAAGAAATCTCCGATCTGTGTTGCGCAGAAGCAACTTTGGGACGGGATTTCTTTTGCAGGGCGGTATGGAATTTCTACGCCCCTTTTCTGGCTGGCTCCTGCAGGACGCGGCGTAGAAAATCCATACCGGGCGGGAAAAGAAATCTCCGATCTGTGTTGCGCGAAAGCAACTTCGGGGCCGGATTCCTTTCCAAGGTCGGTATGGAATTTCTACACCCCTGCCCCGGCTCCCGCAGGACGCGGCGTAGAAAGTCCATACCGCCCAGGAAAAGAAATCTCCGATCTGTGTTGCGCGAAAGCAACCTCGGGGCCGGATTCCTTTCCCAGGACAGTATGGAATTTCCACGCTCCTGCCCCGGCTCCCGCAGGACGCGGCGAGAAAGTCCTTGCCGCCCGGGAAAAGAAATCTCCGATCTGTGTTGCGCGAAAGCAACTTCGGGGCCGGATTCCTTTCCCGGGACGGTATGGAATTTCTACGCCCCTGCCCCGGCTCCCGCAGGACGCGGCGTAGAAAGTCCATGCCGCCCGGAAAAAGAAATCTGCGATCTGTGTTGCGCGAAAGCAAGTTCGGGGCCGGATTCCTTTCCCAGGACGGTATGGAATTTCTACGCTCCTGCCCCGGCTCCCGCAGGACGCGGCGTAGAAAGTCCATACCGCCCGGGCAAAGAAATCTCCGATCTGTGTTGCGCAAAAGCAACTTTGGGACGGGATTTCTTTTCCGGGGCGGTATGGAATTTCTACGCCCCTTCCCTGGCTCCCGCAGGACGCGGCGTAGAAAGTCCATACCGCCCGGGAAAAGAAATCTCCGATCGGTGTTGCGCGAAAGCAACTTCGGGGCCGGATTCCTTTCCCAGGACGGTATGGAATTTCTACGCTCCTGCCCCGGCTCCCGCAGGACGCGGCGTAGAAAGTCCATACCGCCCGGGCAAAGAAATCTCCGATCTGTGTTGCGCAAAAGCAACTTTGGGACGGGATTTCTTTTCCGGGGCGGTATGGAATTTCTCCGCCCCTTCCCCGGCTGGCTCCTGCAGGACGCGGCGTAGAAAGCCCATACCGCGCGGGAAAAGAAATCTCCGATCTGTGTTGTGCGAAAGCAGTTTCGGGGCCGGATTCCTTTCCCAGGTCGGTATGGAATTCCTACGCTCCTGCCCCGGCTCCCGCAGGACGCGGCGTAGAAAGTCCATACCGCCCAGGAAAAGAAATCTCCGATCTGCGTTGCGCGAAAGCAACTTCGGGGCCGGATTCCTTTCCCGGGACGGTATGGAATTTCTACGCTCCTGCCCCGGCTTCAGGCAGCCGGCCCGTGGCAAGCTATTTCGTTAATTCCGGGCTGATTTTTGGCTAATCCCCAAAGCGAAGGAGAGCAGACGCCAAAGGGGCCCGACTAGAAAGCGCGCCGGGGTTGCCGCCATATTTCCGGGGGCGCATAGTCATCGTGGGCGCCGCCCTCCGGGCACCCCCCTGCGCCCCCCGGAAGGGGAGGCGCGCGCCGGGAAAGGCGCCAAAGGGTACCCCGGCAGAGAAGAAAGGCCAAGGAGCCTGCGAAGCCTGCGCGTGGAGGGCCTCCACCAAATCACAACGGAGGCCGGAACACGACCCCGGCGGACCTGTTGTCTGTGGGTTTCCAGAGCGCCACCCCTGCAATCTTCGGGGCAAATTGAAAAAGGCGCCGGCCGGGGGGAATCCATTCAAAGACGCAAAGGCCACGAGAGGCGGGAACTGCGGGCGGCCGGCCTGCCGAGAAAAAGCAGGGCATCTAAGGACAAACGGCGCCGACTGAGAGCCCAATGGTCTGGCGGAGTGACTGCCTCTCGGGGGAAGGTTAACTCCTTGGGTTTTTGGGGTAATTTGTGGGCTAATTTATAGTCTAATCTGTAGTTTAATTTTTGGTCTAATTTCAAAACCAACGAAACCTTCCCGATTTCGTTGCGGTCAGATTAACCCCCGAAATTACCCCCGGGATTACCCTCTTCATTAACCGCCCGGGACCGGGGTGGTGTTTGAAAGACCAAAACGCCCCGGCCTCGCGCCTGCCTGATTTCCAGAGCCGGGCCCGCTGCGCGCCGCCCCCCATAAATGCAAAGGCGCCGGGCCCCGGCGGATTTGAACCATGGCCAAAGGAGCAACCCCTATGAGCCAAACCACACCAAAAGACCCCCGCCCCTCGGAAAGATGCCGGACAAAGAAAAACCGAAGACCCGGGCAAGGGCCCGACCCGAGACATTCCCCGAGGTAGGGGAAAAGAGCACCCGAGGGCAGGCCACCACCAAAAGCCAAGGCGCCGCGCGCGCGAAAGGGCCCAGCGATAAGCGGCCCCCACCCCCAAGAGGACGGGGGAGAACACACAACCAGGGGAGGCGGCCCGGAAGCTTACGACACCCGGGAAAACGGAAAGCGGGAGCGCCACACTATGCCGCGCCCTCCGCCCCGAATATGGCGCGCACCCAAAGGGTGCCACACCCAACCAACCGGCCCACGATTCCCAGAATTAGCGCCATTTTAACGAAATTTCACTAGCGGAAATTGCCTCGGGCCGGCTGCCTGACCGGCTCCCGCAGGACGCGGCGTAGAAAGTCCATACCGCCCGGGAAAAGAAGTCTCCGACTTGTGTTGCGCAAAAGCAACTTTGGGACGGGATTTCTTTTCCAGGGCGGTATGGAATTTCTACGCTCCTGCCCCGGCTCCCGCAGGAAGCGGCGTAGAAAGTCCATACCGCTCGGGGAAAGAAATCTCCGATCTGTGTTGCGCAAAAGCAGCTTTGGGGCGGGATTTCTTTTCCACGGCGGTATGCAATTTCTACGCCCCTTCCCTGGCTCCCGCAGGACGCGGCGCAGAAAGTCCATATCGTCCGGGAAAAGAAATCTCCGATCTGTGTTGCGCGTAAGCAACTTCGGGGCCGGATTCCTTTCCCAGGACGGTATGGAATTTCTACGCTCCTGCCCCGGCTCCCGCAGGGCGCGGCGTAGAAAGTCCATGCCGCCCGGGGGAAGAGATCTCCGATCTGCGTTGCGCAAAAGCAACTTTGGGACGGGATTTCTTTTCCAGGGCGGTATGGAATTTCTACGCCCCTTCCCTGGCTCCCGCAGGACGCGGCGTAGAAAGTCCATACCGCGGGGGAAAAGAAATCTCCGATCTGTGTTGCGCGACAGCAACTTCGGGGCCGGATTCCTTTCGCTTTCCCAGGACGGTATGGAATTTCTACGCTCCTGCCCCGGCTCCCGCAGGACGCGGCGTAGAAATTCCATACCGCCCGGGGAAAGAAATCTCCGATCTGTGTTGCGCAAAAGCAACTTTGGGACGGGATTTGTTTTCCAGGGCGGTAGGGAATTTCTACGCCCCTTCCCTGGCTCCCGCAGGGCGCGGCGTACGAAGTCCATACCGCCCGGGAAAAGAAATCTCCGATCTTCTTTGCGCGAGAGCAACTTCGGGGCCGGATTCCTTTCCCAGGACGGTATGGAATTTCTACGCTCCTGCCCCGGCTCCCGCAGGACGCGGCGTAGAAAGTCCATACTGCCCGGGGAAAGAAATCTCCAGTCTGTGTTGCGCAGCAGCAACTTTGGGACGGGATTGCTTTTCCAGGGCGGTATGGAATTTCAACGCCCCTTCCCTGGCTCCCGCAGGACGCGGCGTAGAAAGTCCATACCGCCCGGGAAAAGACATCTCCGCTCTGTGTTGCGCGAAAGCAACCTCGGGGCCGGATTCCTTTCCCAGGACGGTATGGAATTTCTACGCTCCTGCCCCGGCTCCCGCAGGACGCGGCGTAGAAAGTCCATACCGCCCGGGGAAAGAAATCTCCGATCTGTGTTGTGCAAAAGCAACCTCGGGGCCGGATTCCTTTCCCAGGACGGTATGGAATTTCTACGCCCCTGCCCCGGCTCCCGCAGGACGCGGCGTAGAAAGTCCATACCGCCCGGGGAAAGAAATCTCCGATCTGTGTTGCGCAAAAGCAACTTTGGGACGGGATTTCTTTTCCAGGGCGGTATGGAATTTCTACGCCCCTTCCCTGGCTCCCGCAGGACGCGGCGTAGAAAGTCCATACCGCCCGGGAAAAGAAATCTCCGATCTGTGTTGCGCGAGAGCAACTGCGGGGCCTGATTCCTTTCCCAGGACGGTATGGAATTTCTACGCTCCTGCCCCGGCTCCCGCAGGACGCGGCGTAGCAGATCCATACCGCCCGGGGAAAGAAATCTCCGATCTGTGTCGCGCAAAAGCAACTTTGGGACGGGATTTCTTTTCCAGGGCGGTAGGGAATTTCTACGCCCCTGCCTTGGCTCCCGGCCGCAGGACGCGGCATAGAAAGGCCATACCGCCCGGGGAAAGAAATCTCCGATCTGTGTTGCGCAAAAGCAACTTTGAGACCGGATTCCTTTTCCAGGACGGCATGGAATTTCTACGCCCCTGCCTTGGCTCCCGCAGGACGCGGCGTAGAAAGTCCATACCGCTCGGGGAGAGAAATCTCCGATCTGTGTTGCGCAAAAGCAACTTTGGGACCGGATTTCTTTTCCAGGGCGGTATGGAATTTCTACGCCCCTACCCTGGAGCCCGCAGCGCGCGGCGTAGAAAATCCATACCGCCCGGGGAAAGAGATCTCCGATCTGTGTTGCGCAAAAGCAACCTTGGGGCCAGATTTCTTTTCCAGGGCGGTATGGAATTTCTACGCCCCTGCCTTGTCTCCCGCAGGATGGACGCGGCGTAGGAATTCTTGGCCAGGAACGTCCGCCCCCCCCCGCCTCACACCAGGCGCGGCGCGCGTAGCTAGTGACCTAGTTTGCGGCGCGCTAGTGGGGGGAGGGTGTTTGCCTGCCGTGGCCACCTGCCGCAGACACCTGTCGCGGTCACCTGTCGCGGTCACCCTGTGTGTCCGGGGGTATGCGTTACCAGAACCCGGAAGGCTTTTCTATTTTTGAAAAATAGAGAGCTGCGCAAAAAGTTACTCTTTGCGAGATTCGAACTTCTTTGCTGCAGCGGAAGTCGCAGCTTTATGGTTTATTTCTGAAAAGAAAAAACGAATCTGACTAGACGCCCGGGCTCTGTAACTGTAATCAGACATCCCAGGCGACAGGGGGCGGCGACACGTGGAGGCGACAGGCGACGGCGACAGGCAGAACGACAGGCAGAACGACAGGCAAAACGACAGGCGAAAGGACAGGCGGCGGCGACAGGCCAACAATGCCAGCTTTTGTTTGACGTGGTTCCGCACCAGCAGCAGCAACAAAAAAGCCGCGAGCCCTTTTTATTTCCGAGAAGAAAAAAGCAGCTCTTTTATTCACACGCAAAAAATAATTATCATGTTTTGGATATTATGAGTAAATTAAATTATTTTTTGCGCATGAATATTGAAAAGAAGAGAGATGCTTTTTTCTTCTCGGAAATAAATGACTTTTTGCTTTTTTGTTGTTGCTGCTGCTGGTGCTGAACCGCATTAGAAGTTGGCGCTTTTGGCCTGTCGTCGCCGCCTGTCGTTTCGCCTCTCCTTTCGCCTGTCGTTTCGCCTCTCCTTTCGCCTGTCGTTTCGCCTGTCGTTTCGCCTCTCCTTTCGCCTGTCGTTTCGCCTCTCCTTTCGCCTGTCGTTTCGCCTCTCCTTTCGCCTGTCGTTTGGCCTCTCCTTTCGCCTGTCGTTTCGCCTGTCGCCGTCACCTCTCGGCGTCACCTGTCGCCGTCACCTGTCGTCTGGGGTATGTGATCACAGAACCCGGAAGTCAAGCAATATAAATATTAATTTTCAGTGTCATATGTAGCAAACTTGTGATGCAGATCTTGCAAAGTCATCACAGTGAAACACTTTCTTCGTACGATATTGCTGTACGGAAGTTTAGCAGCCTGAAGCGCTTTTGCTGCGCGGGTGGCTTGATACTGTTCCTTTTTCTCTTTCTCCTGTTCGTCGTGCCGTTTTCTTTTGAAGGAAGGCGGCGAAGCACAAAAGCTGCTCTCCTCGAGGGTCGTGTCTTGATGGTATGCAAGAAAAAAACTGCGTAAGTGTAATGCAGAACATGCAACAGAGTAACGCCTGTCATGCCAGACAGCCACGAAGTCCGCTACTCGTGTGCGTTCTCCCTTCCGAGCCACGCATGATAGGTTTTCTCGGTCATGTAGAGCAAATTTGTGATGCTGTAAGCCAAAGAGAGTTACACTAACACAGTTTTTTTTCTTGGATAGATGCGTTGTGGTGTCTACAACTTCCTTGGCGGAATTCTTTACATCTCTTTCAACATCATCTTCTTTCTTGCAGTACAGCCGTCTCACATTTTTCTCGTAGATCCCGGCCACTTCTTCCAGCATGCAGTCCTGGATGCGCTTCGCCCCTTTTGCCAAGGTCTCCAGCTGCTTCTCCTGCTTTTCCAAAACGTACGCGAACCGGAGAAACCGGTTGCGGAAATACCGGTTGTCTTCCAGCCACATATCCAAGGAAGAAAGTGTACATAGTGATATAAGTCTGTCATGCAGAGAATGCAGACACAGAGTTGCGCACGCGCTTGTCATGCTGGCGAGGCATGAAGTCCTCTTTTCTTGCAAGAACATAAAGCTGTATGTGTTTAGTTTTCAAGTGCTGGCGCCTGCGCATGACACCAGGCATTCTCTGTCATGCAACACAAATTTTTCATGCTGTCACTCCAAGACACCTACAGTAACGCAGTTTTTCACTTGGATACCGGACGTCCACAAAATAGTTTTCCAGCGAGTACTCAAAGTCGTCCATAATCTCCGCCACCTGCCCCGCGTCCTGCTTGCACTTTTCCGCAACCTATCAAGTGCAAAAGTGTCTGGGTCTGGAAGAATGCCAGACTTGTCATGCAGGTTTTCCATGATCCATGAGGTCTGGTATGTAGGACATAGCATGACAGATTCTGCGAGAGTTCTGTCATGCCTATCCTGCATGAGAAACTGCCTCTCGATTAGGTCAAAAATGTACAGCTCTTGGTAATCATGCAACACTTTTCTACATGATTCAGATTTAGCATGATAAGTTGCTTTGTTCCAGACCCAGACATATTTGCAATGCATACAACCACCGCTGCGGGCGAGGCTATCAAAAGGAAAAATCCCCCCTCTCATATTGACAAGGTACGTTTCTGCAAATTTGTGTTGCTGATTTGTGCCCACAAATCGTGTCTGTCTTGCAAGAAGGCAACTCCACAAGCTCCGCAGTGTTGTGCAGGCGGTTTGTGATGCTGATGGGCCTACGGCGCGGACGTTTCTCATGCTAGACGCCTAGGCCAAAACCTCTCTACTTAGGCTTAGTGTGGGCCTGCATTCCTCTCCAGCAAGACAAATCTGATTTGTGTACGCAAATCCTGCGTCAGAAACTTCGTTTTGATATGGGGAGGGGAGATTTTTCCTTTTGATACAGGCCGGGTGCAGTTTGGTCAGCGTCCACTTCCCGCTCAGCCGCTTCGCGTTCTCGAGGACCAAACTGTTGATGCGGTTCAGCTGGTCCACCATGTTGCTGATCACCGACTGCCCCGGCGCAGTGCCGATCGGCAGGCCGGGTCCCGGCCGTTTGAATGGCTGGCCGAAGTACGTCGGCTGCGCAAACTCGCGTTGGTGAAAGGGTCCTCGTCGGGGCTTGGCGGTGCTGCTGCTGCTTGTCTTTATGCATTGCAAAGATGTCTGGATCTGGAATAAACTTGTAATGCTGAGTGGCGAATCATGAGAAAACCACAATTGCTGACTCAGCATGACAGGTTTCTGAGTTTGTCGTAGGTGTTGTCTACTCTGCATGACGAACTGCGTTTTACTTGCATGGCAGGACGTTGCTGCATTTAGGCAACGTGCATGACAGACTTGAGAGTCATGCTAGCCGAGCATGACAAACTGGCACTCTTCCAGACCCAGACATATCTGCAGGTGATAGTCTGTGGCGAAGGAACTACAACGGCAGGTGCTGCGCCAGTTGTACCAGTGGTCCCCGCCCCTCCTTCCTTCACTGCTGCTGCCGCCGCCGCGCGGGATTTTTCTCCTGCGATTATCATCGCCCGCAGATCCGTATGAATTGCAAAAGTATCGCACTCGTATAAATGCATTACAAATTTCCCCAGCATGATAAATAAAATTTGTATATGCAGATTTGCCTCAAGACAAAGATTTGTAATGCAAGACTTGCATTCATACGAATACGATACGTTTGCACAGGATAATCCGGCGAACCGAGGTCCTCCGTGAGCACCGTCATCTTTTTTCTTTTTCCGTGAATCACGGGCGTTGCGTCCCCGTCTTCATTTTCCTCCGGCCAGTGCTCGCTTGGTGGCGTGAGGAAAAGTAGTCTTGTCACGAGGGACCGCATATGGATTGCAAAAATGTCTGGGTCTGGAAGGTTGGAACTTGTGATGCTAACTTTGGAACCCTGGAACCCTGAGGTGATGTCACTAAGTTTTTTTTTGGCTTGAAGACCCCCTCCTACCCCCCCGATCCCGGAAGGGAAAATGGATGCTAACTTTGGACTTCTCTAAAAAATTCTGTATTGCATGACCAGCAAGAGGAGTCCGGTTTGTGCTACGCGTGGAGGGAATTTGTCATGCGGAATAGGCATCAGGAAGGCCTCCAAAAATCTGTGATGCTAGGGCTTCCATGACAGACGTTCTATGTCATGCAGAAACAGCATAACAAACGTCGGATTCTTCCAGACCCAGCCATTTTTGCATTTGGTACCGCAGCTTGCCCTCGTCATCCAGATCAGCGAAGTACTGAATGTCATCATCCACGTGCGTTTCCACGGGCCTCCCGCGCTCCTCGGGGCTCGGACCTTCCGGCATGGTCAGCTCGTGGTACATATGCATTGCAAATATGTGTGAGCCTAGAAGAATGTAACTTGTGATGCTGCAGTTGGATTCTAGAAAAATCTGTGTTGCATGAGCAGCAAAGGGAGGCCATCTACTTTTGCTACGCGGAGAGGGCATTTGTCATGCGGAATGGGCAACATCAAGATGCATTCAGAAAATTTGTGATGCTAAAACAACCGCACCGACATTGCCATTGTCCATTATCGCTGGGGAGGCAAGCCTCCGCAGGCGCTGGAGCGGCATAGGGAAAATTTGTGATGCGAAAAATACATCACAGATGTCATGGCTCATGCAAAACGTGCATGAAAAAGCTCCAGTCTTCCAGATCCAGACCACGTATTTGCACTTGATAGTACACGGCCCGCGGCCACTCCTGAATGTCACCGCTCAAGCATTTGTCGCAGAAGTCGTCGTCGTACGCACAGCTTTGCACCTCTTCAAACATTTCGTTCTCGGCGACCAGGCCCATTTCTTCCACTGGGTCAGCATGTGCATCATCTACCACGTGCATGACTGCATCCCCATTGTCACCACCAGACTTCGCACCATCCTCGTTCATCGTAGTGCCACTACGGCAACCACTGCCACCACCCAGCAACGACCGGATTTGCTTGACCGCAGAACAGTAGTCGTACAGCTTCCTGTATCGTACGAAAAAAGTGCTTCACTGTAAGGATTTTGCAAGTTTTGCATCCCAAGCTCGTTACACATGACGAAGAAAACTTGCCATGCGCGCTTCCTAAGGCAAAACACGTTGAAAAACCCAGTGTGTTGCATGTGTAGCAAGACAAGTAGTTGTGTGCTCCATTCTATGCATCACAAGTTCACAGTGAAGCAGTTTTTTCGTGCGATATCCTATCTGCCACTTCGTTGTTCACCATGGCCAGTCGTTGCATCTCTCGCATGAGAAGCTCCCGTTGCTCCACCCGGCGGCAGCGGCCGTTCAGGAGCAGTAGCATCAGCTTCACGCAGATCTCATGCCGGTCAAAAATGGCCGCGCCGCATCTGGAACAAGGGAGGAATGTATAAATGTCCTCGAGAAATGAATTTAGAAGTTGTTATACCGGTAGCACGCTTGCAGTCTCGCTGACAAAGCGCGCTCGCCATGAACAAAGTTGTGCATCATGACAAAGCGAAATTGATGATATAAACAAAATTTATAGTATTACTTGGGTTCCCGGGGGATGCACTTGAACATGTTGGGAAAGATGTCGTCTTTCAACTCCCTGAACAGCTGCCGGATCGTTTTCCGGAGGGGGCAAAAGAGTTGGAAGTCCTGCGTGAACTCCGCCCCGATGTACTCCCCGGTCGCCAGTAGCTGCAAGTTGGTGTGCGTGTGCATGTTATCGAGGTTTTCGTCTTTCAAAGCGATACTCGGGAGTTTTGGCGGCTCGCAGTACGGGGAGTCGCGTTTCCCGCATTGCCGGTAGTACGCCGGGAGAATGTAGTGACCGGTACTACCGGTCGAGACGAGCGCGCCGGACATCTTGACCACAGGGCTTTGCCTGCTTAGTTGGTTTCTACAGACACAATTTGTCTTCGTTTTTTCAAGATTTGAAATTTCTAGTAACTAGTACGGTAAGCTAAGAGCACGGAGCTACACCCTGTGCTAACGAAGTCAAGTAGAAGGGAGTTGTAAGTGCTAGAAGTCTAACCTCACTACATGCTTTATCACTACGGCTACAACGATAAAGGGCTACGGAAACATAAATACATAGGTGCCGCTGCAGAAAAGTGAAGAAGGGTATTTGATGAGATATAACCAGGATAAGACATGTGAATCTCCCCAACATCTATCAAGTTTTGCAAAATAAATCCGAGACTACCAGGATATTAGTTGTGCAGACGAGACATAAACGAAAACGGCACTTTTCTGAGTTGCATTTTCATATTCGTGCTCGTCATTCTTTTCCTCCGCAGAAAAAGTTTGGTCTACGAATGGGCGTTGTACAAGGTGGAACAGTTTGAACGAGTAAGTTGTTCTTTTTGCATTTCCATCTTTCTTAGTCTATCGCTAGCCTTGGATTCTATTCTGGTGTAAACAGGTCCAGAGTCCAAGTAGTGCTGAGGCTAGATAAAGATACCACAGTGTGTCAAACTGCGATAGAGTTCGCTTCGACGCCCAATCTTGATAGCTCTGAATTGTATTCACTCATCTCCTTGAACCTCATGCTCCGAAGATGTACTTGTTTGCATGAGTCGGGATCTGTGGTATCAAAATGTGCCTCAGATCCTGATCTGCCATCAAGAGATCTATCTTTATCCCTCAGTCACGGATCAGCCTTTCGCTCCGGATCAAGACTTCTTCTGGGAGTAGCACGGTGCTGCCGGACGAAAACTAGAACGAAAGAAGCTTCACTGGCTTGGGTTACTTGTACTTCCGACAATGCACGGATGTAGGGCTGCTCAACACAAAAGGAAAACATTTCTCGAATTTCCAATAAGTCGAACCTGGAACAACGCACCTGCTCGGCCAGCGATTTTTCTTTTCTTCGATGTAAGTACTTCGTTTGGTTTTGCCGCCATGGCGACCCGTGCTGTTGTATGTCCGTTTTTCTTAATATCATACAAACCTTGTTTGACCTTTTGGTCGTCTACGTTAGCATTTCCTTTCAGATCCAGAAACACAGATGCTAGTTGGTGTACCAAACTTAAACTCAGTGGCGAGACTTTTTTTTCACGACGTTATTGTTAGTGTACTCGGCTTCGACGTGCTGTAATACTTACTCATCATGCTTGCACCTTTCTCCGATCCATACTCTTACTCAACTTTTACTTTTCCAAAAAGATAAGAACTTATGACTTCATCACCACGTGCCTCATCCCGTCCAACTATGGCAACGCAATCTTACAAAACGTCTAATGTGGAAATTTGTTCTTGATCATACAGGTTTCGAAAACTTCTAAAACTCGATGGTCGCATATTCGCACTTGATGCGGTTGTTAGTGGGTGTCTAAAACTCGCACCGCAATCCAATACTAGTGCACTACTTACTCTACAAAGATATAAGCTTCTTGCGGTCTGTAAAAGACTTTCGGTCGCAGATCTTGCTGCACAGCATTACAAAGGCTGGGGCAGAACTGGTTCCGGTCTTTTTTCTTGGCTCGTAAGGTTTACCACTCTTCACTTAATGTACTTACTATAGTATGTCATCTGTCCTAGTAGCCTAGAGCCTGCTGTTTGACATTTCATCACCAAAGCCTTCTGCAAGTATACTCGTGACAGATCTCCCAAGGCACGGCTTTTGTTGCAGTTGGCGTTCTACCTCCTCCGACGACGAAGTAGAAGCAAATCTCAATTTGTATCTGTGGCAATAGTGGGCGAATAGAAAAGTAAACCATACAACGGGAAAAGTACGACTGACCAGTGCTCCACCTGAATACACTATGTCCCAATCTAAGGACCTACTGTCTAATGAGTGGATTTAGCTTGGTTCTGTCCAAAACATATCAAACCAGTCGGTCGTGCGCATCTGAGTCACAATTTCCGTCGCCCGTTGTCGCCAAGTGATTCTCGTTCTCACACGATAGTACAGATTGGAAAATACTCTGATTCTGAACTTCCTTTTAGTCATGACGCAGCCCTGCTTACTCACCTGCCACCCTGCTGTTCCTTCTTCTGCTTTTTCCCACTTCGCTTGGTACTTTTTGTTTTCCCGTGATGCTTCTTCACCTTACAGGCCCCATCTCCGGTGCGTGAGTGCAGTTTGAAATACGGTTTTCCGACCGCAGAGGACACCTTACTGTCCGGATGCGCGCAGACCGACGAATCGCCATCCTGCCCCCCCTTACTGCCTGCCGCGGCGTCTGTGCCCCAGGCCGCCTTGATGGTTCCCATCGTCGCCGACACCTGCTTCCACACGTCGGAAGCCACTTTTTGCACGCCGCGTCTGAAAGCGCGTGCCTGTGCCGTGTTGGCGGGGAAAAACTCAAGTAGCCCGACGCTATGCGAAATCGGGTTGCTGTTTCCATCGAGCTGCCGGGCCGGCCAGCCGTGCTCGCAGGCTGTGGGCGTGTTTCCCTGCATGGCTTCGAATTCCCCGAACATGCGGAAGAGATCGGCGTCGCTCATTTCCGTGCAGCCACGGGACAGCTCCGGATCGAGCGTCCAGTTCCCGTCCCAACAAATGTCGTCCCGGTTCGCCTTGCCGCAGTCGAGTTTCAGAACGCAGGCCTTGTTGCCGTTGCCGGGATCAGGGCACAATGCGAGACGACGGGCGTTCGCACCACTGGGGCCAGTGCAAAACTCCCCTTGTTCGTGGCGGAAGTGCTCCCCGTCCTTCCAACCACCGGCGCAAGGCGCCGCCGCATCCATCAGTGGCACCACACCGTCGTAAGTGCCACTGATCTGCGGGTGCAGATGGCTCCACGACTTCTTGTTCGCCGCAAGATCGGCTTTGATCTTGTCAGCCTCCTGTTGCCCAGCGGCTGCCGACTTCCACGCCTTCGCTTTGGCTGCCTCCGCCTCCCGCGTTTCTCGCGCAACCTGGTCGCGACGCTGCGTGTTGGCGCGGAGGCTGTCGATCAGGGATTGATGCTTCTCCACCAAATTCGGGGTTGGAGGGTCGAAGATACGCCCATCACGGCACATCTGTAAGCCCAGGGAGGATTGCGTGGGCCGCTCTTCGTAGTTCTCAGCGAGGGTTACGTCCCGCGAATTTTCCAGCTCCGCTCTCGGTACGGCGCAGCAGTTGTTCGGATCTCGCAACGAGCAGACGGTCGTAAACATGCGCCTCATCTCGGCCACTTCCTGTTCGTGGAATTCTGCGTCAGCTTCGTTTCGTTCTGCTTGGGCAGCCCCTTCCTTCAGGAGCTTGTGCAGATTGCGCTCAGCGGATTCTGCTTCGGCTTTGTTTCTTTCTGCTTGGGCAGCTCCTTCCTTCTGCAGCTTGTTTAGACTGCGCTCAGCGGCTTCGGCATCGGCCTCTGCTTGTTCTTGCCTCATCTCCGCTGCCTCGGCCTTTCGCACCGCGGTTTCGGTCTTGCGGCCTGCGGCCTGGAGCAGCTCTTTCTGCGCTGCGATCACCCCTGTCAGCCTTTTGTTTTCGGTGTGAAAGTCAGGAAGAGCCAAAACCTGGTCGGCGTTGCAAGCTGGAGTAGAATACGGCGCTGCAGCCGAGTTCTGTTGGTAGCCGTTAGCGAGAGCCATGCCCTCCCGCGTTCGTACAGAACAGCACTCGGAGCCGTCACTGGAGCCGTTCGTGGGGCAGACAAGCACGCGCGGCATGCGCTGTTCGTAAAGTACATGCTGCAGGACCCCGGTAAAGACGACGAACGCAAACACCCGGAGTGCCACCGAACGCCTCACGCACTCTGCGAAGGCTGACAAGTGCAAGGCAACACTCGCATTCACAATTTGCCACCACCGTTGCGCAGCGCCTAGTTGCAAAAATCGCGTGAGCGCAGCGCGCACAGGCGTCGGCTGTCCGCTCTGGCTTTCCCCGCCCTCAATTGCAAGCACGAGTTCAAGCGGCTCGGCTTGCGCAGGGGCAGTACGACACTCAGCTCGTCCCGTAGAAGACGCTCGACGGCGGGCCCGGGTGGTTCCATGTTCGTCGCGAGATCTCGACACACGCAGACTTCGTCCGTGGCTACTGAGGGAACGGACCTGGGAGCCGATGTCTACAAGCGAAATAACGTTTTCTTTGTCTTCATGGAAGGTCAGGATGGTCTTGCCGCTGAGTTCCATGCCCAGCACCCGTTGTTCGTCTTCCCTAGTCAGGCTGATTCCTGCGAGGAGCCGTGGTTTGAGGGTCAGCAGGTTCACAACACGTTCCCGGCGTTCCACTTTCTTCGAGAAGCTGCTGAAGGCGTCGCCCGGCCGCACGTCCTTAGGCCCCTCCATACGCTCAAACCGCGTGAGCACGTTGCGCGCATTATCCCAGAGGCCGTCGACTCCCTCCTCGGCTCCCTCGGCCGGCGCTGCACCTCGCGCCCAATTTATAGCGGATTCCAGTGGGGTCGTCATGTGCCTCAGGGCGAATTTGGACGCTTCCCAGTTACTATGGGTGCGCGCCACGTCCGCGAGGTGCTGCAGCATGTGTCCTACGACGAATAAGGCCCCGTCGGATACCGCGGACGCGCCGAGTGGGACACTCCACGATGCCACGGCAAGCATTACGCCTGCGTCACCTTTTCTTTGACGGCCTTGTGCGACAAGGAGAGCCTGTTTTTTGATTTGATTTGATTTTAGATGTCCACGTTGCACCGAAGGGGGAGGGGCAGAGGCAGATGATGCTGTCGCCAAACAGCTCTTTGCAAGGCCTGACTGGTTTCAAACTCAGGCATTTATAGGACTACAAGAAACAAGATCAACGGCACAAAAACGCGACTGCTCGTGCACCAGCTTCAAACATAAGACTCTTTATCTTTCTTTCTCAAAAACACGTCTTAGAAGTGTTTTTAGTACTCCAAGTGCAAATGATCCTGAAAAGTCGCAGGAGGCGAGATCTATGTGCGAAAAATACTTGCATTCCGACTTCGATGGATACTCATACTTACTGAGTGTGAGTACATCTACATAGTAGCCATAGTCAATAATTAGAAAGAAATAAAGTACATCTCGTTTCTCCTCAACGGATTCTCTCCCCCGTTGCCCGAACATTTCCGAGAGTCCGAGAAGCGCTGGCTTCGGCCGCGACCAATTTAGCTGCTCCACCAAAAGAACCGCGCGCGAGCGCATGAGCCCCTCACTCGTGA